AATATTTTATTTAAATAAATTTATAACTACAGTGTAAACTCTATGTAACGACAACCTCCTTAAAGCGTCGAAATCAATTGGATTTGGTTGGTTAAGGTTGTCTACCAAATACTTACACCCCACCCTCAATAACGCCAATTAAGAAATACTAAAAAGTACTTTATAATTTGCCAAAATTAGTTAAAACTGCGGAGCTGTGTACGTTCATTAGTCACTTTATTGTCCTAGCGAAAAAGACTCTAGTAAATTTCGATATCATACGTTCTGAACTTTCTGAGAAATCCGTTCGTTTTTTTAAAAATTGGGACAGAGCTTTATCACAAAAATGCCTCAATATTGTAAGATATCAATAAAATAAGTAAAAAATACAACATACTACGCACAAGCGAATTCATATAGCATGTTTTTATGTACTTACCAACACTAGTCTGAAATAAACTTTATCTTGTTCTAATACAGATTTTTCTACTTTCCGTTTAACGACAACTCTCTGTAACATCAAAATAAGCACAGTCCCTAGAATGTCGTTATATAGAGTTTACACTGTATATAGTTTGGTTGTTTGTATGGTTAACAGGTTTTTGCGTCTGCTTCATAACTATTTTTGTAAACAGCAAGACTACAATAACAATTTGTATTTTTTTTCAGTTCAATCGGATTTTTGAACTAAAGTACTGAAAAAACCAATACGTCGGTGGAGGCCTTAAAAAATTAAGATTCTAAAGTACCTTTGGAGTAACAGAAATAACAGTAAGAGTCAAACAGTCTCCTCCAGACTTGATGAGATCCACCACTTGTTTGTGAGTTGCACCTTCCACGTTTACGCCATTTCTGTAAGCCGAGAGAAAGGTAAATGATCATAAAAGTGTTGTTTATCAAAATACTAAATTGTATATATTAACAAATTTTAATTGCACCATGCCCAAACCAGATAATACGGTAGTATAATATAAAAAATCATATTCATTAAAACAATTTTTTGGATAAACAATAATACCTACAAAGATATCGTCATTGAAACTAAAGCCATAGTTACGAATTACGTACGTACGTATTATGAATTTAAATCAATGCATTTTAGGTATAAAAAACAATCATTTGTCTATAATTATACAATATCAAATGCCTTGTTGATGTGGACATTGTTCCAATAAATAACTGTACAGATATTACTGTGTTTATTTTGAATTATCTGCTTACGTAGGTGTTAGTAATCCCTTCATCCCATTATTTGATAATTATTATAGAGTTATACACCGGATTAGATGGAACCATATTTTAGCATTATATACCTTGCTCCAAGCACACTATATGAATACTAAATATATTAATAACTGAATCGAAAATAGACTGTGCGCAATTAGATAACAGAAATTGATAAAAGGGATAAATTAAAAAAGTTAAATACATGTCATGATGGTTATAGACATTTTAAGAGTCATATTCACACTATTCTAAAGCTTTACATAATAACAAAAAAAACTATCGCGTAACTATGGTACACCATACACTATATATCTAATTACAAGTTTGAATAATTGAATTTGTTAAAATAGGGGGCGTCGTATAATTGAATTTCACACAAAGTCTTGAGCATCAAAATATTGTATGACTTAATATATTTACCTAGCTTTAGTGGGCGGAATTTCCAGGTCATAGATTTCAAATCCAGTGTGCTTGCAGTAATAAAAACAATATTGGAAGTCTCCAACACCACCTCTTTGTACAGACATTTTATATTGCACATTAATTTGAAACAATTTAATTTTTTTTCTATTAACCACCCATTTAACAAAACTCATAAAGTTGTTTTCTAATTCTACATTAATAAAGCAGTTTTTAATTTTATCATGTTAATTACTATTCTGATAAAATAAACACAATTAACATCAAATTGTATATAAGAATAAAAACCAACTATTAAACAGTATTCAGACACATGTCTACTACACAACTAATTTATAATCTAAACATAACTAACGATGTAATGATCTATTTATTATAATTGTCTCATTAATAGACACTATATTGAGAACAACAAAATTGACATTCGATAAATTGAATGTGTGCTAGGGTGATGAAATAGTTTGTAATATTACTATTTGTGTATTCTAGCATGGAATATAAATTGTATAGATTGCTAGTGGCATATAGACAGGAATAATTTTATATAGAAACTATTTCAATTATCTCATTTCAACAAACAGATTTATATTGTATGTACAATAATAAACAGAATCTTATCAAAATCAATAAATTTAAGTTAAGACATGTTAAGTTCAGACATTTTGATAGCAATCTCATTGTATTTATAAAAATACTAAAGAGTTATTTTTATAAATTTCAGTTCCATACAAAATGCTTTTATTATTTATTATTGGAAAAACTAGTATTACTTATTGGGTATCCATCCAGTATTATTTTTTTTTATTTCATTATTTTCTGATATACAAAGAGAAAAATCTTAGTATAAGATATATTTTGTTAACCAAATACATGTAGATGCATTTAATATGAAGAATGCAATTTCTTGTCTAGATAAGGACTTAAATAGGTTAATGGAGCATTATTTATATATGTCCACACATGATAAAATATTAACCAGTAAAGAGGCATGGGTCAATAGGTTCTATGTAATTACTAGTGTAAATTTGCTAATGATTCCTTGTGATTGTAAGATTAATCTTCTTGTCTAAGATTCTATTTGGATGGATAATCTAATTAAAATAATTTTATCTTACAGTACATTACAGTATGTGGAATATACTGTAATAGTCTTTGGTTTAGCCAACTACCACACAATAAATCAAAACTTCTATAACATAAACTAATAAATATTAAAATTATTGTCATTTGGGGTCTAGACTCATGACATTGATTGACTTGTAAATATTTTAATATTTGTTTTTATCCAAAAAACAAATTTTAAATAATCTGGATACTCCTGTATTGGTTTATTTTTATAGTTTAAAGCAGTAGTTGGAATATAAAAAAGTATTCTTCAGCAAATACAATAATAAACAGTTCTAAAAGGCTAATGGTGGGCATTTAATAATACGATAGTGTCATAAGGAGCTCAAAAGTATTTTGTTATATGGCATATGGGATGTATTTCTTAGTAGTGGTAACATGCTATGTCTCAAACTAGCAGAAATCTATAGTGTGTATATATTTCAATCCCATGTATTATGTGTTCCATTAACTTTAACAATATAAAGTCTCTATCATTACTTTAGGAAGTTCATTCCATATGTGTAGGTGTGGGATGACATAAAACAATCTAATCAGACATTTCATTTAATATTGATTTAAATAAATAGGCTTTATAAATGAATATCCCTTAATAAGAAATTAATTATATAGATATTTGTTTATGAAAATATTTGGATCATCAGGAAATAATAAAACATTACATTTACTTACTTACCTTGTCCTAACCTAAAGGTCCCCTTGTAACGAATTAATTGACGATTAAAATAGTTAAATTTAATGCGTTCTGAATAGTAAAGGTTTCAAGAATAAGAGTATTATGTAAATGTAAAAAAAAGTATGGAGCTAGTCTTCGTGAAATTTATTTTAAGGAAATATTTGAAAAATGTAATAAGATGTGAATTGTGTCTTAGATACTCATTCTAATGCTAATGAACTTTATGTTTAGTTACATTTTAAATTCTAGTTCGTTGCAACGCCGATGAATGGAAATCCCCAGAAAATCGTTATTATTGACTAGTTGGAGCAGTTACCGTCAATAAACAAATTAGAAGTTACTTACACTTCAAGTATTCGATCTCCTTTCCGAATGCCAGCTTGTTCTGCCGCACCCTGCTCCAATACAGCGCTAACATGCTGAAGAGGTGCATACAACTCCCCATTAATAGACCTCAGCTGCCCACCCTCAGAAACTTGACCGCGCACGTTAAAACCAAAACCTGTTTCTGTTTTATATATTGTAACACGCCGGGGGCCATTATTTGATGTTAAATTCCTATTATTTCTTTCAGGCCTAACAATATTGTTTTTATCGGTTTCTGTCTCGGCCATTTTGGACAATTGATGGCACTTAGCACAGATTGCCACCACTTCTAAAACCTACATCTTGACGTTCATTTCGCGACAGATTATACAAGATAACTATAGTGCCAAATAAATAAATGTCTACACTTTGTATTTTACTCTAGGATGTAAATATATCGATCCGATCTAATTATTGTCGGATATTGATAATAAGTTTGATAGATTTTCGAATGAAATTAAATCTCATAATATGTTTAGAATGTGGATATGTTTTTACTAAAATTTGCCTGTTTGTATATTTTCTTAAAATTGTACTTATTACTAGTGTTTGTTGAAAGCCTAACATTAAAAGATCTTAAAATACGCCAATTTTTAATCGACCCTTGAAAAATAGATGCTTCGATCACTCGTGCACAGTTCGCATATTTCAGGCCTATAGGATCCACAAAATCGGATTGAGAATATAGAATCTATCCCTGTTTCCGTAAATAGTAGTAGAGTATAGATCATTGTAATTAAACAAGATATCACAAGATGGCGCTACATTTTTATATAGGTATTAGGTACGAAAACAACGTGGAGTGCGCAAGAAAATCACACATCAAAATCAGCTGTGACAATCAGTATGGCCGCTCATTTAGCAAGAAAATAAAATTTAACTATATTATTTTCAAACGTTTTGCAAAAATAGGAAAGTGTTGGTAGTGTTTACATTTTAGTTGATTTATTTTATTCGAGTCGGTGTTGACTATAAAAGTGTTGCGTCATGACAAGAAAGACCTCTCACTGACAAACAAATACAATAAAAAATTTAACCACTAATTGTAGCAGAATTTCAGCATTTCCCTTGCATTCGTCTTTCATTTTGTTGAGTTTATTGCGAGCTAATGTGATTTTCGCGTAAATAATCCCATAAATATACAAAATGAGTACGGTTCGCTTGAGTTTTGTATCGGTTGGAAGAATTGCTGTTAGGAGAAATTCGCAGTTGACATCGGGTGAGTACTGACTATATTAATTGATTGTTTTGTTCTATATTGGCCTTTTCCCAACGAAATGCGACGCAATATAAAAGTTACTCGTGTACATGTTTACGTCAACTGAATTATTTGCACTAATACTTCTTATTGGAATAAATATGATTAAGTTAATAATGCTTTAAACATATATTCTTAGATTTCGAGTGCCAAGGTTTGAATTTGTGGAAGGTCATTAACGTGAAATGCAAACGCTGACATTGAAATATATTATTCTGTAGAATAAATTATCATAAAAATTATGTTCAAAACAAAATGCAACTAATGGTTGTCATTACCATATTTTTGTTAAATTATAACATATTTCAAATATTAATAATTAAGTCTTGTCTTATTTTTGTTATAGTTTTTATTTATATCAATGCAATTAGAGTAAAATGATAGAAACATTCCTTAGAGTACTGTGTACCTTTATATTCTTTTATATAATAGAAAGGGAAATAAGTAAGGCTTATGATATTAGTTATAAACAGTATTCTATCTAATCTAAAATTGTGTTTATGCTGTAAAATCTGATAAAATTGGAATGGAATGTTTTGAAAGAGCAAATGTCATTTTAAAGTATATTTTATAATAGAATATTCTTTCAACATCGGAGTTCTCAAAAGTCAAAGATAATTGAAATCCAAATGAGCTTGAAATTGTTTATACATATTTTTAAGTTGAGAATTGTAAAATTTCAAAATATTTAAATATTGAAAATTTTTAGAAAGTGTAACAGTTATACTTTTAAAGAAAAGGCAGGCTTTAACAATTATACTCACTTTCCAAAAATAAGGCATTGTATTTCAAGGCTTTCATTTACATTATTTTAACATTTTTAGTTGAACATTGTTTTACATTCAGTAAAAAAATAATAGCTTAAAGTTTCAAAATAAGGGATAAAAGAATTAAGAGAGTTACCATAGTCTGTTTCGTTAGTAATTCCAAAAACTTGATATATATTTCAAAAAAATTCTTGTGTAAGGAATATATTGTTATTTATAAACATATTTCCATTGATGATCCTATCTATATTTGTAGATTTTAAATGTTGCATCTAAAAGTTGAGTATAGTGATTTTTTATATAAGTGGGTTAAAAAAAAATATTGGTTGTTTGTAAAGTAGGTTTACGATCGAGATGTTTACGTGATAACGTCTTATTGGTGATATAAGTTTTTGGGAAGTAAGGAATTAATGAAGATAACAATTTTTTCAAATTTTAAATTACATCTATCGTTTTATTCACACTTTTGATGATAAATTTCGGGTGTAAAATGACAAGTTTACTTATTCGACTATGATATACATTTTTCTTCATACATTCACGGAATGACTGGCAGCGCTCGAGATGAGACAGGAGATCGGTCCGTCTCTCTCTCGTTATACCTGCGATCGCGCTCGTGAGGTTTTGGTGTGACACAAGTTTCTGAACATGTCACCCGACTAAAACGATTTTAAAGACGTTATCACGTCAAAAAACATTATTGTTAAGACTACTCTATAAATTTCCTAGAACTTTTTGGTTCATATTGGTGTTCCCTTTGTGACAGTGCTGTCACTGAACAAGATCTAAGAAGAATAATGTAACATATTTTTTTTTTTTAATTTATTTATTAGCCGGATACTGTAACATAATTGTGTAAAAAATATTGCCATCTCATGATTTATAACTTTTGTAAGTACTCTATTGTATAAGCAATTTTACTTGTGTTGCCATTATTAATTTAAACTTATGCTTATTAATTATATAAAAATAACATTAAATTTATGCTCCATATAGTAATGAAAAATATGGGTCACGGACACATATAACAGTTGTTAAATTACACACACAGACAATATTATGATTTAAATAGGTATATAATTTATGTTATTTGGTAGTGAAAATTGTATTTATGCACGTGTAAATATTGGCAACTCAACAGACACGCGCACTGCAGGCATTACTAGTGTGTGGGTTAGGAATTAATAAATAATTTCGAGTGAACAACTTTTTAGATGAAATAGATTTAAATACGTAATTGTATATATTTCGTAAATAACCTTGGTAATTGGATATTAAATTTATAAAACGGGTCAGAATCAAGCCCGAATTATGAGAGTTCAATGAGAAGTGAGAACCTGACTATCAAGGTGCACCCGAGGTCAGTAAACAATGAATTAAAAGGCCGATTTACTAATACATTCACATGCGACCTGTTTCTGTATGAGTCATGAATATAATCTTTATTTTAATATTTTGCTACTTTTCATATGAAATCTTAAAAACCTTGGAGAGTAATTGTCTTATCTATCATTGATTTACGAAACCAGTTTCTAGACATATGGTCTACTACTTGTTACTTCAATAATATGTAAGAAGTGCCGGAAAATTAAAAAGGCCAAGCATAAGCTTTCGCCTTAATACATATTAGTTTTATTGGCTAAATTTATTTTTCTGTATGCCAGTTTAACGTAGGTAGACAGAAACATTTTTAATAGTTCACAAAAAAACGGTTTGATTCAGGTATTGGAATTGAACCACGAAGGGGTGTATTACTAGTAATGTTGACTTACGATCCTTCAAGTAAAGAGCGTACCAATTCTTAAAAATCAGGCAACGAACTTGCGAGCATTCAAGTTTCCACGGGCGGCGGTATTAAAAAAAAAAGTGTTTTTCTATTTCGTAGTCTGTAGAACGACAAACTATCCCGGTGAACTGATATGATTGAAATATCAATAAATTGTAACTTAAAATAGTGATCTAAATATTCGAGTAGGCAAAAGTAAAGAAATGTACTTGCAATAAATCTTCAATCGAAAGTGAATCATGGAAAGTTTGTCAAATACAGAATTTTTGAACGGCGCATCGATAAATAAAAACATGCCAAATCTTGCGTAACGTTTTTGCTCGATCAATCGATTTTGTATTAAAAAGTAATGGCAGTGTAAAGGTTTTTTTACTTTTAGAAAAGAAAATACAATAAGAAAAATATCTACTGTGTAAGGAAACAAAAGTAAAAATAAAATTAGTTAAGTTTTGTGGTGGACAAAATTTGGATTTAGTTCATGAAGACTAACTGTTTTATATATATATAGAACATGGCAAACGGGAGGGTTATCTGATATTAAGTGATGGACACTCTCAATGCCACAGGGCTCGCGAGTGCATTGCCGGCCTTTTAATAACTTGTTATGAATCGTGAAAATCTCTATAACGTTACTTTAGTATGTGAAAGTAAAACCTCATAAAGATTTGCGATAAGCCGCTCTTAAGACGTAAAGTTATTGCATAATGTCCTTTTGCTTAATGTTATTTTCCTCAAGCATGAGAAGTAGCTACAAGGAAGTGCAACAATCTGGAAACCCCTGTATTGCTTTATGTAATATTGAATCATGACAAAGCGGCTTGCACTGTTAGGCAGTGATGCAGTAATTTAGCAAAGTAAAACAATTGAACGCTATTAGTAATAGCCAAGCAAATGTAAGTCAAATAAATGTAATTTATTATATATAATTATAAAACTTAACTTTCATGCGCATTTTTGTTGTGGAACGTATGCAAAAAAGCACTTTAATGCAGCGGAAAAATACCTAAATCGATGCGATTATTATGTCGTTATCGTTCACAATTTGTTAAGAGCGAAAGTGCCTTGTGAAACCTGATCATAGTGTAAAACCTGACAGTGGTTAAACTTGGTTAGATTCTAGTTTTGTTAAGGAAGCGAAAGATTTAATAGTTTATATTGATATATAATTTAACGGTAAAGTCAGTTGGCTAAAAGGCTAATGGCTAAAGGCTGTTTAGTGAAAAGCCACCTTTTTCTTGGTTATTTCCACAGACATGTGCAAGGGTAATCCGTATCGTTGTTTAAATTTATTGCTTGTAAAGAGAACAATGAGTTTCACCTCTATTGTTTGTGGACTAGTGTTTGTCACGCTTAAACGCAGCGTGTCTGGCGCCAACGGAATCCCTCCAAATTGTACAAGTTTCTTTTCTAACCTACTTTGATGATTATTTGAGAGCTTTTTGTATGATACAGTAATGTAATAATGTGGTTTATTTTATTTTGGTTATTACCGTTATTATAAACATTAGATGTAACGTCATTGAATAAAAAATAAGTAGTTTCGTAGCTACTAAACATATTTTAACTCGAAGTTTATCTTAACTATTTAAACTTCCACCTATTAACTTTACTCTAACACAAGTTCACAAAGGTCTATTGAGTGCTTTTTGAATATTAACAAAATACAGTTTTACATGCTTATTATGCTTAAATTTTAGGAAATTTAATACGCAAATTTATATAAATTAAAATTTGTTTATGCCTTGGGTAGTGCTGTATGCCGGCCGAGTGGTTAAACATGGAGGGTTCGGTTAAGTTTCTAAAACAACCGACGATTGCTACCATAGGAGACTGGGTCTAAGTCGGGGTTGCAAATTGCAAGTGATGATGGTATCGTTTTAAGCCCCAACAGAATCGGATAGCCTTGTATTTACTAATACCTTCGGTATTTTAAGTGGGTATTTCACACACAGTCTCTAAATAGTAGAGAATCTAGGAAAAAAAACAAAGATCTTGTATCACTGTTTGTCGACTTTAAATGGGGGTTGAAATTGTAAAACTTATTGTTCGTTAAAGTTTACATAAAGGGATGTAACACATTGTAAACAGTACTAATACTCTGTAAATCAGCAACACGAGTAGCAGTAACAATGTTATAAAGGCGGAAAATACATACAAAGTTGATAATGGGTAATCCTAACATTACTGCGAAGTAAGCTTGTTGTTACCTTTACATTGAAATGTCTGAGAAAAACGAACAAGAGAATCTTGAATAGGTTAATTTAGTATAGGCCAACACGGCCTTAATGCCTTCGGCGTGCTACCACCACAAAAGGATCACCTACTTGCCTATTTGAAAAAAAAAACAATGAAACATACAGAGCGCCACTGTTTTGTTATATTTAATCAACTCAGTCGTAGACATTATCTGGTCTTTGATAAGCGATGCTGTCTATTATAATTGATATAAGTAGTAATTAACCAACCCTTTTGGGTTACGGGATTTCAAAAACATTTATGTATTAATAATAAGCAGGAATGCAATTAAAAAGAAAAAATAGAACAAAATTATTGCAAAATTGCATATATTTTATAATGTTTGACGTCTTTATTGATTTTGCTAATTGTAATTGGATTATAAAAGAAACTATTGGGTAATATCAGTAACAATGGTAGTCTGATATAATGTATGAAAAGATTTAGCCTTGTATAATACAATCTAAAACTATTTATTGCATAATTTCGCAATTGTGAATTTTAAATCTACGTATTGGCAATGTACTTTCTATCTGTATTAAATAAGGTTAAATTTAATTCGAACCATATTCGTGGTTGATTGGTTTTTTTTGCATAATAGCTAACGATTTATAATATATCGTTTAAAAATTAAAAAATACAATACTTTAACATTTTAATTATTAATAATTCGATTTTTATAATATTTCACGGTCGTTATTTTAAATTCAATTAAATAAAAAATAAGTCAAGCAATTGTATTTATGTCATGTTTAAAGCCTTTTGTTTTACCTTTCATTTCTTACTTTCCGGCAAAACTAGTTTGACGTTATAATATTATTTAGTCCATATATTAGGAAAATATGATATTATTATTTTTTTTCTATAGAAATATTATCATGAGGGTAAAGTGATTTACTAAAGTTTCTTATAAAACTTAACATATCTAAAAAAACTATACTTAGACATCTATAAAAAAGCCCACTATAGGTGGTAATTAAACTCCTGCTAAACGGCTGGACCGATTTTGATGAATTTTTTGTGTGTTCAAGTGGATTCGAGAATGGTTTAGAATATTTCTTTTGTATTTAAGGGAGGCGTACAGGAAAACGTCTGTCGGGATCGCTAGAATTTAATACAAAAAAGAAAATTCGTAAGGACAAGTTCCTTGATGATAAATTTAATGTTATGTAGGTGCTGCGCAGTCATGTCGAGGTCTCCGGCGCTCGAGTCCCCGTTCCTTCAGTACATGCGCCGTTTTGTGCAAGAGTCCCACAGAACAGCCCCCAGGGCCGCCACAAGCGGGCAAAGATGCTGCAAGTACTGGTAAGTTGGAACTTTATTTTGCCAATATTATTTATTGGTAATTGATAAGCAACGCCCGAAGCATATTACACAATTCTTATACAATTTGAGAAATTATTTCTCTAGTCGTGAATATTAAATTTATTATAATTGGAGACCAAGTTATTAAATTCCCTGCGTTGCTAATAACAGAGGAAAAGCTTAAACGCGTTCTTTTTTACGTATTACATACTAAAAATGACTTCTATGACCCTAATATGTACCATGACTCCTGTATGTAAAATCCTAATTCATGGAGAAATTTGTGCTCTTATTTATAACAATATATTCTTAACGCGCTTGAGTATACTGACCTTACTTGTATCAAAGCTAGCTCGCTAAGTAAAAGATGGCAAGGCGGGTTTTTCGAAGCAAGGTTAACATCGCTTGACCGCATGTGAGCCGGTCAAATGCCTCGCTCTTACCCGTATGTGCCAAGGTTAATGCTATAACTCGATAATTGATCAATGAAAACACATTACATCTTTGAAATTTTATAGAAAAGTTTTAAAGCATTTTATCACTGATTTGTGAATAACACAATATGTAGGGGTATTTGAATTTCAAATTACGGGGTCTTCTTTAAGTACGTTCTACTATTTATTATATGTTCGTATATGACAAGCATATGTATAATTGTTTTATGGAAATTGGTTGACAGAAAGGACACACTAAACACTCAAAACCAAAACAGGTGAAGCAATATTGAGTCTGAAATTATTACGTAAAATTTTAACTGTGGCCTTGTGTTATAGAGACACCGAGACCCGAACCTTTACCAATACGAGGCTTTTAAAACATATACAAAATATTTTTTTAAAAGCCGCGTATGATATTTCGTTTCTATATAAATAATAATTAATCGTAAAATGTTGCTAAGCCCAAAACCCGACCTGCGCCAATTCGAGTTTTTTATTATTTCATCTTGAGAAAGGTTTTAGTGGAGGGAAAAATTAAAAATTAGCTTTATTTAGTATTTAGGTCTTTTTAGGCGAACAGTCTCTATGGGGTGACATTGTTCCATATGTTGGTACGTAGCTACTAAAAAGGTAGGCTATGTACAAACATCATATAAGGCGAAACGAAGTTCCAGGGGCAGCTACTTCTATAAAAATTAAATTGGAACATTGTAAGATAACGAAAATATAAATCAATATTTCTAATTCATATATTCAAGTGCCAAAACGTAAACAAAAAAAATAATAAGCGCGTCAGGTTAACAACCTTGATATTATAATATATTAAGCCGCTTATTTGAAATATATATATCTTATATTCATTAAGTAATATTTCCGTATGAAAACGTTTGTTATATTCACAATTCGAATGTGTTGGTTA